GGAGGAAAAGTAAACCCCAGCAAGTGTCCCGTAGTATAAAAACACCCCACAGAAGAGATGGGAGCCACAGGTAGAAAAGGCTTTAAACAGTCTCTTTAGTGGAGGGGCGCCCTCAAGATGGTGGTCCCTATATGAATATAGGAGCACTAAAATAATACCAAAACTTAAAAACAAAATCATTCCTCCCTCGGTGAATATGACCAGCTCATTGAGAGAGGTGTCTGAACAGCTCAGCTTCAGGAGTGCAGCGAGGTCACAGAAGTAGTGAATGATGGCATTGTCAGCACAGAAAGACAGTCGGGCCAAGAGGAGGGTGTGCAAAAGGGATTGGCCACAGGAGAGAATCCAGGAGCCAGCCACCAGCAGCACACACAGCCCCTCCCTCATGACGGTGGTGTAGTGTAGAGGGTGACAGATGGCCACATACCTGTCATATGCCATCACAGCCAGAAGAAAATTGTCAAGAGTACTAAAAAGTATGAAAAAATACATCTGAGAAATGCATCCCACACGGGAGATGGATTGTTGCCGAGTCTGCATGTTCATGAGCATCTTAGGGACAGTGACAGAGGAGAGAGAAATGTCAGAGAAGGCCAAGTGGCTGAGGAAGAAGTACATGGGTATGTGCAGGCGAGAGTCCAGCCTGATGAGCAGGATGATGAGCAGGTTGCCCAGCACCGTGGTCAGGTACATGCCCAAGAACAGGGTGAAGAACATGCCCTGCTGCCCTGGCGGGATGGGGAGCCCCAGGAGGAGGAAGTGGGACACGCTGCTCTGGTTCTCAGGCCTCATGCTGCTCTTCTGTCTGCTGGGGATGAAGAAAGTGTGGGAATCTCAGGAACCTAGAAAGAAGACCAGAACCATCACATCTCATACTGTCATTCTCTGGGAAAACCATTAATTTTTAAATACTTTCATATTAATATCACACACTTGTGGATGTATGCATCTTCCCTCTATTCTAGCCTGGCTCCAGGAAAACATTGAACCCCAAAGTAATCAACAAGACTTCATCACACAGAAGTAAGAGGGGTTCACTGTTCATTCAATTACTATTAGCATTAAGACTGAGTTGAGACCTCTACTAAGGACTAAAATGCAGCAGTGAACAAGAAAAGCCAGGTGCCCACCTCTATGAGTTTACATCTTGATGAACATGGAGGGATCATTTCTACACCAGGCCAGAGCCAAACCATAATGATTCACTGTGGCAGGAATAGAAGGTGAGCCCCTGCAAACCGGTGTCAGTTGTTTCTGCCTGAAAGTAGTGTGAGACTCCAGTGCTGAGCGGGTGTTGTTGGAGCCTTGTCAGACCTCCTGTGAACCTGCTGGCTCCCATTAACCCTCAGCTGTAAACTCAGGAACACTCTGGAAATGGGTGGCTATTGAAAGCCACTGGATGCCAGTATATCTCCAAAACCAGAATAGTTCACAAAGTATCTATATATATAAAAGGATGATATGCTAAGTGTCTCTCTGACCATGTGATCAGTCTCTTTAACACACACTGACCACCAGAGGGCAGACGCTCAATGCAGGAGCTGCTGTGATGTGCACTGGCCATTTACAAAGAAATGGCTCCAGGGACCTGGCACCAACAAAGCAACACTTGGCTTCCCCCAAGTGGGATACAGGCTCCGCCACCTCCCCAGAGTGACAGCCCACCAAATTGCAGCCAAAGCTGCTTAGACCCTAAGGTGCAAATTTCGGCCCACAGCCCAGCCCAGTCCAGATGAGCCCGGAAATGGTGGCTGTGGGCGCTGGGTAATGATGTCACGTAGCAACACCCGGCTTAATGATGTCACATAGCAACACCCAGCTTCCTCTTCTGAGTGACTAGCCTCCTTGGAGTTTCTTCAGCCCAGGAGTACAACTTGCTTTATAGCCAGGTGGAAACATTTTACACTTTAACCAAATGTCTGTGAAGCTTTTTCAGGTGCCTCATCTCATTTGATCAGCACAGAAGTCCTGGAGTAGGTAGATAGGAGACCGGGTAAAATCCTATTTTCTTTTCATTGGATGGAAAATGGGGATTTAGAAAGTTTAGAAACTTGACCCAACTAAAAAGAAGTAAGAAATGGTGGAACTTTAAAATGACTTTAGGTTGGAGGACAGGTAGGGAGGGTGGGGGTAAAGGGGAGAGATCAACCAAAGTACTTATATGCAAGCATATAGGCCTAACCAATGGACACGGACAACAGGGGGATGAGGGCATGAGTGGGGGTGATAGGGGGTAACGTGGGGAAAAGGACACATATGTAATAACTTAATCAATAAAAAAATAAATAATAAAATAAATAAAATGACTTTAGGTTTTCTCTCTGCGCAGAATATAGTCAAACACTGCAGCAGTTATATATTTTACCCTTTGTTCTCCCTGCGTGATCTACAATAATAATCTGCTTCGTGTTGATATTTACTGCTGTGTTGCTGACAATTACCTGAAAGAGAAGTTGAGGTGCTTCACTGGGCTGGAAAAAGTTTAGCTAAATAGAAAGCAGGTCTAATTAAGCAAGTTTATCTATATATATATAAAGCTCTCACTGGTGCCAATCGCATGCGTGTGTTTCCATCTGTCATTGTCATTGTGATTTTGGTTGACACGTCTATTATAGAGAAAGGGCAAACAGCAATATTAAAATATTTCTTCTAATTAATTTCCTTTCAATGTGCACAAATTCGTGCACCAGGCCTCTAGTCTTTCATAATAATGCTGAACATTTAGATGAATATTTGTGTACCAGGCTAAGGAATTTACCTACATTTCCCAATTAAATTCACACATCAGCCTTACATTCCCAGATTTTAAAACCTCTTCACGGCTGCTCTAAGGATTTGTATTCTTTGACCTATTTTAGTTTTTAAAAATAGAAACATAAATGACACAAATTCTGTAGGCACACAGCAGTACAGCAGGGACAGAATGGTGCACAAATACACATTGTGTATATCAGTATCTATTACATATGTGATATGTAATGTTTATAACTTGATATATATGAAAAAATTACCATTTTCTATAAATTAAAAATCACCAACTGTTAGCTACTTCATGGGGTTCAGTCTAATATATCTGTGTGATCAGAGACCATGATCTTAACTGTTACACAGGGAAACTTCCCTTTTCTTGCTTAGGAGCCAAGCACAATATATTATTTTAGAGCTGTGAGGACCCAGAATTGTCCAAAAAATTTGTATTCTCTTTACTAGGTAATTATAGTCCTTCATATTTATTTACTTTCCAACTGACAAAGAATTCTCAAATACATTAAGGTCTATTTATGCAATAACTATTTACTAAGAGCGTCTGCAAGATTCACAAAACTTGATTCATTCTTTCAATTTTATAGACGTGAAAGTGAGACCAATGTTTTATATAACTTCCCCAAGGTCTCATAACTATTTAATTCTAATTCTACCCAATACCTTCCACATATCATAATGCCTGGATTTTATGCTTACTTTTTTGTTTGTTTGTTTGTTTGCTTCCCTGGAATGTTTAGTAAAAATAAAGAAAGGTTGGAAAATTCTGAGCAACTCAGTCACACTCAAGTACATAAAAATGATAGCAGATCCATTTCAAGAAACAGGGTGTTGCTTAGAATTTGAGTATCTTAGGTAATGGTGCCCCAGGAGGAGGACACTTTAGGAAATACTTGAATCATGGATACAGATCACACACACACACACACACACACACGCTCACACACTGCTGATTGCAGAATGTAAGTCACCCCTGACCAAATTTCCATCCTAAAGGAAGAATAGCCAATATGTGGCTCAACTCATAAACACCCATATGTATACATACAAGTCAGAATTAACACAAAGTTGGACATACACACATACAATAATATACCTCTCACCCCAAAACACACTCACAATGCACATCAACACACCTGCTTCATGATGCACCTGATGAACACTCACCTCACCACATATACATAACTCAAACACTACACACACTTCACCAAAAACACACAAGACCACAAACAATTCAAAAATCTTACCAAGACACACACACACCACAATACATATGCACACCAAGCCACACTCGCTACAACAAACAGTATACACTCTCCTATTAATGCGAGTGTATTAATGAGCTTCCCTTCTTCTGACATTCCCCTTGCTGGGGGAGGGCAGTCAGCATGGGGCAGTTAAGTCTATTCAGTCACAGGCACAGTCATTAAACCACCACCAACACCCATGCATATGGTCACACACACATGGTCACATACACACAGAGAAAATCCAATAACATAACTTCCAGCTCTCATACACGAGAGCGTCACCACCAGGCACAGCTCACATGTGCACCACACACTGCTGAGGAGAGGTCTGAGCTCTCTCTGAGCTGACCTTGGTTCCTGGTGAGGTCGGCATCTTCTTGTCCAGCAGCAGAAACCACAGTCTCACTCCCGGTGCTCAGCTGTGATGCCAGTGTTTACTATCACAGACATGAATCAGGAGTCCCAACCACACACCAGGAGGCTGAGAACTTGGTCTACAAACACTAAAACGAGACTGTGAGTCAGATCCATAGCACATACACACACAACTATGAAACAGCGCATATACAAGCATATACAATACATGCACACACACAGGGTCATGGACACAGAGTCTCACATATGAACCCACTAGCACACAGGCAGGTCCATAGCCAAGGGCAGATTTCCAGCTCCTCTCACCTGGGCTCCTCATTGGTGAGTTCAGACACCTTCTGCTTCAGTTTATCGCCCATCTCCTCAGCTTTTCTTCAGGAGACCTAACATCAGACACACAGAAGCAATAACTGTGGTCTTGGCACTTCTACAGACTTTCCTTTTCCTTAACCAGCTCCAGGGAAATGAGTCAACAGATGACACTTAACTGCTAATGAGAGACTGGAACCAAGTCCCCAAGCTTGTGGCTGATTTCTGACTGCCCTTTGGGAGCTGTGTGTCCAAGAGCCAGAGGGACTGGAGCCAGAGGGACTGGAGTCCTAGGGGACAGTGTCCCTGATTCCGGTCATGCCCTGGGCTGCTTTGTTCTTGGGCATTGCTACAGCTGGGAAGAAAGATTTTTCAACTTTCTATTTTGATTTTAAAGATATAGAAAAGGTGTAATAATGATATTAAGACTTCCTGGGCAATCTTCAGCCAATTCCCCAATGGTTAACATTCTACCTTCTTGTGTATATATTTATATATGTATGTATGTTTGTGTGTATATTTCAGGCTTAGATTTATAGCTGATATACCAGTGCATATTATCAGAAGGCATATGATAATGTTTCCAGTAGCTAGTGTTTTTATCCTTTTTTAACAAATTTTCAAAAAAAATTATTGTTGAAAGTATTACATATGTCCCTTTTTTCCCCCATTAACCCTTCTAGCCTGCCCCACTCCCTACCCTAGACCTTCACCATACTAATATCTGAGTCCATTGATAATGCATACATGCATACAGGTTCTTTGGTGGATCTCTTCTCACCCAACCACCCATGCCTGCCTTCCCTCTGAAAATCGACAGTAT